TTCATCATCATTATGGACACTTTGTCTATAAATTTAAGCCAACACCAAAATATTAAACACATTAGAGTCTTCTCCATTCCTTAGGAAGCGGTCGAGTATGCTCAAATGTTGCTGATCTTTCTATGATGGTACAAATTTCAACGATTGATGGGTAAGTTCTATGAACTTTCATATATGAGGATTAACTGGGGCAGTAGTAAAACATTGTGGTGGTGGATTCATTATCAAGGTGTGAGACCTCGAGAATATTCTAGAATTTCTTGGTTATCTACCGATGCCCCAGTTCATGTTCTCATAATATTCCCCTCACTGCGGATGGTAAACCTGCAATTAACGATAAAGGTATTTCACAACCGGCTATTGTGAAGATGTTCCTCTCGAAGGGTAAACATACCTCACTCATTGGCTTCTCGTTGAGTATTAATAAAGTCATGCTAGCTACTCTACTATGGTATCGGTCGACGATATGGGCAGTAGATAAACAAACCCTTCATTTTCAACAAAAACAAGTAGTAACTTTCTTATTGAGAGACAACCATGAATATGAAAATGTAATTAGCAGAGTAGGTCGCCAATCAATTATTGAACCCAAACCTAATGGAGGTCAGGGTATTCCAAACCTGGTCATACAAGCCATGACACTTTCATTACAATTGATTGAAAAATCACTCTTTAACCTACCAATTCGTTGGGCAGTATTGACTTTGGGACAGATTGTGAGACTAGCTCCTGAGGTACCACTAGGCACCGACCTCTTTTGTTGGTTGGAGAATCGTTCACAGTCAATTCCTAAGGGGTGCTCGTCTGACTTTAACGTACTAAATTTTGATCGCAAAGAACTATCATTTCGTCAAAATGAACATTTTTTTTTTTTTAAACGAAATTGAAACCGAGTTTTTTGGCCGAAAACAGGTCTAAATTTGTTGCTCTTGAGGGTCCTGTATCCAATCTCAAGCTAAGCGAACATATATCCAGGGGGTCCAGTGTAAAAATTGGACCTGTTTTCGGCCCAAAAACTCGGTTTCAATTTCGTTCAAAAAATAAAAATGTCCATCTTGACGAAATGGCAATTGCTTGCGATCAAAATCTATTATGTTAAAGTCAGACGAGCACCAAACATGCCACAACCACCTTAACGAAACCGCCACCCTGACGCCACTGCCGGCCTGAGTTACAACTTACAACCTCCTTTTCAAACTCAGGGCATGACAAAGTTGCCGACTCGTGTTATTTTCGCTCATTATAAACTCCCATGTGACATAAACGTACTTCCCTCTTAACTCAATTACCCAATCACCTGTTTGGATAGTGGGACCCCGTCTCAGCGCACTTATCCATGCGATCAGGATTGTTTCCTGTAACTCTTGTAGTCTGTCCTCCAGATTCCTCACGTGTCTCAGTGTGGATTTTACCTAGGCTGCAGATTTTCATTTCCCGTCTTGCGCATTCCACAGATCCCCACAGTGAAGATGTCTTTCTTAGCCCAAACCAACCAGGGTGAGTCTTGTTTCACAGAGAATTGCTAGCCTTTGGAATTTAAGACATGTGGTTTTCCAAACCACGGTTGTCTACAGATCTCATGCCAATGCAATGGAGGTGGAAGCTTTTCTGGTCCGATATCTCTCCACAATGACATGATCGAGGTCCACAGCAGGTCATTGGCCAAATCCGACTTTGACACGGTGTAATTGCTGCCAAGGACTCCAAATTGTGTTCTTATCAATTGCTGGACCTGTTTTCCAGGAGGTGTTACTCCCCACCAATAGATCTGAGTCTCCTACTGAGTGGCTAGGGGTGGATGCTCTTATTGCCACCCCTAGCGATATCAGTAGGCGTTTTTGTGTTAAGAGAAAAACAAAAAAACTGAGGGTGTGTTATGTTCAGGCGGGGTAGACGGTGGTTCTACCTAGAACTTGAAGCCTGCCAAGAAGCCTACTTGTTGGTACTCGTGGGGTTTCGTCACTCCTCACTCGGCTTGTTGGTACTCTCGGGGTTTCATCACTCCTCACTCGGATCCTCCAGCCTTCTCTCACTCGTGTTTCGACTATTGACTTACCGTGAGCGGCATGAGGGCACAGGTGATCAGCTCGGGTTATTCTCACAAACAAACAAAAAAAACGAAAAAGAAAAAAAAAAAAGTGTCGGACTGTTTTCTCGGGTTTCCACCTACTCATCAGGGAGTTGAGTAACTTGAGTGCGTGTGTGATTGTGTGGCAAATGTGTGTTTCATTTTCTGATCGAGCGCTCACGACTTTTACTCTGTGTGTGTGTGTGTGTGTGTGTGTGTGTGTGTGTGTGTGTGTGTGTGTGTGTGTGTGTGTG